GCTTGGTGTGAGTCACAGCCCAGGGTGTGTGGCACAAAAAGGCACGTAAACGAATATGAGACAACCGATGTGCCAGGGCTGAGTGGGAGCTCAGTGCCAGGAGTGTGGGTACCGGGGGCAGGGGGGTCCTGGTAGGTCAAGGGAGGCCTTTCTGAGGAGGTAACAATTAAGAAGAGGCTTGAAGAAGTGTCCCTGAGAATTCGTAAGCCCATACCTGTCTCCACCTAGTGTTCAGAATTTTAATTTATACTCCCTAAGAGATCTGAGAATCCCTACGCTGAGAAGAAAAGAGCAGTAGGTGGTGGGTTGGTGAAACCCTGTCAGAAAGCACTGACAGCCCTGCAGCTATGCATTGTCAGCCTGTTTTCGCCCAGGAGCCCTGAAATGAAGGCTCAGTAAATGAGCTCACAACCCAGGTTACAAAACTGTGCGGAAGTTATCCACCACGAGTGAGAGTCAGCTGCCCTAACGAACACTTGAGCTCCAGATGACGGAATTACCGCACGTAGGTTATCCACAGTGTTCGAGGGGGGCTCAGGAGAGACACATAGTAAACAGGCGCTAACTGAACATCAAACGAGTGACGAACCTCAGTGGGCACATCACCTCGCGGCCTCCCCCTCCACCAGGATCCTGGCCGCCCTTGCCGCAGCCCAGAGCTCACATCCCCTCTCCACCAGGTACACGAGCTGGAGCGAGCCCGCCGGGTGGCAGAACAGGCAGCCAACGACCTTCGGACACAGGTGACAGAACTGGAGGACGAGCTGACAGCAGCTGAGGACGCCAAGCTGCGCCTGGAGGTGACTGTGCAGGCTCTCAAGGCGCAGCACGAGCGTGACCTGCAGGGCCGTGATGAGGCTGGCGAAGAGAGGCGGAGGCAGCTGGCCAAGCAGGTACAGCAGGACGCCCCGTGTATCACAGGCAGTGAGGGGGCAGCTCAGGGTCTTGCCTGCCCACCTGCCACTGTTTTTGTACCAAAGTCCCTCCTGCTCACCAGTCATCCTCCTTCCACAGTCCACTTCCTGTCCCCAGCTCAAAGCCTTCCATGACCCTCTGACCCATACACGTTCCTGTTGACCTGCTGACCCACCAAGTCATGCATCCCCCGTCCACCCAACCACTCAGCCTCCATCTACACCCCCTTCTGCTCAGCCACCTCAGCTCTGTACCAGCCTCCATGCCACACTCATACGCGGCCAGCCCTGCATCCAGTCACTTCATCCACGCAGCACCCCCACCCCTCCACTGCCTCCTCTCCCCAGCCCAGCCCGTGCACCCCCAGCTTACTCATGCACTCGCTGGCTCGCTGGCCTGCTGATGTGCATCTACGGCCGCCTGCCCCCACTTCCTCAATCCCTCGTCCTTCAGTCACTGCTGGCTTCCTCTTGCTCTGTGGCAGTTCCCCCCGTGCCGTCCACTGTGCTCATCCGAGCCAGGAGTTCCCTGCAGGCTGCCCTCTACCTGGCAGTGAGAGCTGGGCATGGGAAAGGAGGAGCAGCTCTGGGTGTCATGTGGGCAGCTGACTCAGGGCAGGGAGTTCTGGAAGTCGGGAAGGCAGGGACTAAAGGTGAAGCGGAGAACCCAGGCTGGGGGGGTTCTTGGTGTTTTTTGTCTCTATTGGTCACTGTGACCCAACTGTGGATGCGTGTCCGAGACTGTGTCCTGGGAGTGCTGGGGAACCTCTGGAGGGCCGTGAGCAGGGTCAGCTCTGGGTGTGTAAAGATCCCCTGGAACCGTGTGCTGGAGGGGAGAGGGCAGAGACTGGAAAGGAGGCTTAGGTGAGAGGAGGTCTGAGCTGGGGCCCTGGAGACATCACCCTGGCCCCTGAACCAACACCCCCCCCCCCGGGCTCTCCACAGCTGCGGGATGCAGAGGTGGAGCGGGATGAGGAAAGGAAGCAGCGGGCTGTGGCCGTGGCCGCCCGCAAGAAGCTGGAGGCAGAGCTGGAGGAGCTGAAGGCTCAGACGGAGGCCGCCGGGCAGGGACGAGAGGAGGCCGTGAAGCAGCTTCGTAAGATGCAGGTAAGGGTGGTGCTGTGGAGGCCCCAGGTCTGAGGTCAACTGGAGCCCGTCTGCTCGGCCACAGAACGTCCAGATGAATCAGCACCACGGGGACATCCTTGCGCCCAGTGTTTACTTGGCTCTTTTGATAGCTTTACATTCCTTTATTTAAAACGCTGAATTTTAAGTCTGATTTCATTTTATTTTTGAAATGAAAATACCTTAGTTTTTTTGTTTTCTGACTGTAAACGTTATGCCTGATTTTTTTTTTTTAAGTTTTTGCCATAGGATGCTTGGGCTCACCAGAAAGAGAGAGAGAGAGAAAGAGAGAGAGAGAAAGGAAAGTGAGAAATCATCCCCTGGAGGATTCCCATGACAATCCCTTCTCTTCCGGGGATTTTGGGCATGCACATACACATGCCCAGCATGATTTTCCAGCCATTAGATCTGAGATTTGAACCACGGTCAACCATATGACATAACCACTACACCACCTGCTGGCCCCTGATGTTTTTCTTACTTTTTAAGTAGAGAGCTGTGCTGTCCAGCAAGGGGTACATGTGGACACTGCTGCTTAGCAAGCTGGGCCCACGGGAGAACCACAGCTCACGTACCAGACTTGGCGGCTTGCTTTCTCACTTTCTTTTTCTCACTCTGGTCAAATTGAAAAATAACGATGATAAATAAATAATTATTTTAAGAAAAAGAATTGTGCTGTTTGATACAGTAGATACCAGCACCAGCATGTTTCTCAAGCCGCTGGGGCTGGGATCGGAACTATCAACAGCCACGTGGGATCCAGCTTCCTTAACCACTAGGCTGGGGCTGGCAGGTGGTAGTTAAGGGCGCTGGACTCTCACATGGCCACCTGTGGTTTGAGTCCTGGGCCTGACAGCTTGCTGTCTGTCTGTCTGTCTCTCTTCGAGTCCTGGACCTGACAGCTTGCTGTCTGTCTGTCTGTCTCTCTCTCCCTCTCTGGTCAAATTAAAAGGAATAAATAAATAAAAGTTAAATAAAAGAATTCTTTTTAAAACAAACAAACAAAAAAAACCATTAGGCCATGGAGCCAGCCCATGATAGTGTTTTTTGCTTCTTTTGTTTTCAGAGAGAGACTTTTGCTATAGAGCACGTGTGCTTGTCAGAGAAACAGAGAGAGGGACAGAGACAGAAAGCAAGAAATCACCCCGGAGGGATGACCACGCCACAGTGCCTTCTCCTGTAGTCTTCTCTCAGGATTTCGGGCACACGTGCACACTTACCTGGCATGAGTTTCAAGCCTCTGGGTCTGGGATTCTGACTATGGTCGCCCATGTGGGAGTCCAGCGACCTAACCATTACCCCATCTGCTGGCCCCTATAAAGGTTGTTTTGAAAAGGAGGCTACTGAGGACCCAAGGGGCGATGTCTGGCTCAAGGTCATGCAGCAAGGTTACGGCCGAGCTACGATTCAGACTCAGGTCTGGATGATGAAACCAGGTTCCTCTAGGCCTCCAGCTGCCTTCTAAGCTGAGCCAGGCCAACCCCTCCTTTTACAGTCAAGGAGACAGAAGACCAGAGGGGGAGGGACTGGCCCAAGGCCCCAGAGCAAGGGCTCAAGTGTGGGAGCCCATTCCGTTCTGCAGGGCTCTGTTTGTTCACGGTTGGGGGGGGGGTGCAAAGAGCCCCTGCCCAGCTACTGTGAGGGTGAAGGGCTCCCTGTGAGGAGCAGCCACCTTACTGAGCCCACCCGTCCACCCTGTCTGCCCAGGTCCAGATGAAGGAGCTATGGAGGGAGGTGGAGGAGTCACGCAACTCCCGGGAGGAGATCTTTGCCCAGAATCGGGAGAGTGAGAAGCGCCTCAAGGGGCTGGAGGCAGAGGTGCTGCGGCTGCAAGAGGTGAGGGGTTGGGCCGGCCTTGGTATGAGGTTGGGGTGGGGGCCTGACCACATGGCCTCCAGTCCAGCCTCGAGGGCACTAGGGAGCCACAGGAGGGTTCTGAGCAGGGGAAGTGCAGGGTCAGCTCTATGAAGGGTGGGCTGGAGCAGGGAGGCTGGGGCTGGAGCAGGGAGGCTGGGGACAGAGCACAAGGCCTGAAGAGGGTCAAAGCAGAAATGGGGACAGGAGGGAAGGGGCTGGGGTGATATGGGACAGCAAGAGGCCAGGAGAGCACCGGGGGTGTGGTGGTTAGGGAGCCTGGAGAAGGAGCAGTTGGAAGAGCAATGCTGGGCTGAGTAGGAGAAGGGGGTCGGGGGCACAGTCAGACAGGGGAGAGGCTGTAGGAGAGGTTCGTTCCAGGGTTACCCAGGGACAGCCTAACGTAGGCAGTGACCTGCAGTGCGGGAGACGGCAGGGAGGGGTGGAACCAGCACCCTCACCCCCACCCACTACCCCCTCTTGCTGTCACAGGAACTGGCCGCCTCGGACCGCGCCCGGCGGCAGGCCCAGCAGGACCGGGATGAGATGGCAGACGAGGTGGCCAACGGCAACCTCAGCAAGTGAGTGGGCCACGATGACGTTGGGGAGGCACCCTCCCATCGTCCTGCCTCTCACCCCACCTTGCCGTACCCCCAGGGCTGCCATTCTGGAGGAGAAGCGTCAGCTGGAGGGACGTCTGGGGCAGCTGGAGGAGGAGCTGGAGGAGGAGCAGAGCAACGCAGAGCTGCTCAACGACCGCTACCGCAAGTTGCTCCTGCAGGTGAGTACAGGGACCCAGCCTTCAGCCCTGCTGTCACGTGTACAGAAAGGGGCAGTGTCTGAGCTGGGTTTTGAAGGTTGAATAGGAATCCTCTTTCTTTTTTTTTTTTTTTAAAGAATGATCTATTTCAATTTTATTTATTCATTTATTTTATTTTTTAATTTGACCAGAGAGACACACACAGAGAGAGAGTTTTTTTTTTTTTTATCATTATAATCTTCTTTATATTACATTGGATTACATATAACTTTACATTGACTTCCATTGCTTTTTCAAAAGGGAATGCCATGCATGTCAGTCAATACAGAGACATCAATCTCCCTGCTTTATCATTCAATGTCTTTTCCATGTATTTCCCAATAATTATTATTATTATAATTTTTTAAAACAGTCAATCACTATTTCTCATTTTGCTTGTTAAAAGACTTCACCCATCATGAAATACTTCCCAGACCAGTCCAGTTGAGAATACTATACACGTCATCTTCAACAGATAATAAACCATATCTGTTTCTCACTAACATCCCCTCTATTGTTCACTTGCTATCTTTCTCTATCCTCTTCTCTTTTTTTTTTATAGTTTATTTTTTATTATAATTTTTCCCCATCACAACACACAAAT